CCCCCCCCCCCCCCCCCCCATGGAATGAGGATCGAGCGGTCCGCATCTTCTCGCAACCGTACCGTCGACCTCGTCGCTCACCCCGTTGTTTTGTGTCTGCCGATGGTCTGTTCGCATCAGGTCCCCGCGAGGTGCCGAACGGGAGTGTGAGGCCCGATCCGGAAGGGGCGAGCGGTCCCCGGAAACCCAGCGACGGAACGGCGTCGCCGGCCAAGAAAGCGAGCGCCCCGACCAAAAGGGAGGCCATCCCGCCAACGGCCGGCTCGCCGGCGTCTCCCGCCCCGCGGCCCGGCAGAGGTAAAAAAAACGCCACGGGGGTTCGCCGGCCTCTCTCTCTCCCCGCGCCGGTCGTGGACTCGGCTCAAACTTTGATCGTCTGACGTTTTTGCACTTTGCCAGAGTCAGCTCGGCTCTCTTGAGTGCGAGGTAGTGCTTCCGCTGAGAGTCGGAGTTGCTTTCAGACCCGCGGCCAAATCCGATACAGAGAGAGCATCAGTGGCCTTTTTGCACAAAGGTGCCTTGAGATAAGTGGGATAAGATATTGCGAAGGGGGTGGGGGGGGGGCACTCAAATATGGGCTCATATTTGCCAAGTGGCAACATGCCGTGGTTTTGTCAGTATGATCCGCAAATGCGGCATCCCTCCATGTTGCGATGCGCTTCTCCTCGCGAGGGGGCCCCGCGGGCGTGCCGGAGCCCATCCCAGAAAAATTGTTGTCCACATCATGGTCTCCTTGTCCTTCAGCGTCCCTTTTTTGGGCACTGTGAAGCTGGTTAATTGCGGTCTTTTGTGGTCTCCAGAGCCCCCCCTCCCTCAATTAGACCAAGTGAATGTTGAGGCTATTAAGCGCAAACAAAAGACTGCTTTTATGGTCCTTCTGTCGTCTGACAGCAGCAATTTACTTGGTGCACCACTCTCGGACCGATTTGATTGTTGTTCGTCTCCATCTTCACTCGGAAAAATAATAATGAGGAAGCCAATGTGTTTTTGATTTTTAAATTTGACGCCCATTCCAAGTGAGCGATGCACAAAAAAAAAAACAAAAAAACAAAACATCGATCGATGCCCCCCCCCCCTGCAAGAAACACCATGCGGGCGTGTTTACCCAACTTCCGACAACGACCACATTTCCATGAGCACAAGATGCACATCAATTTTCTCCAAAATGGGCGGGGTTACGTATCTTGCACATCAAATATTTGGGAACTTTCAGAGTGACAAAGACATCGTCCCCCCCCCCACCCTTGGAAAGGCTGCTCGCGGCGGTGCATCCTCTTATTTTATTTTATTTTTTTTTTAGGCGTACCGTTGAGAAAATGAAGGTGCGTAGGACTCTCGCAAATTGCTTTGCCGGCAATCAGTCGGGGGCTTGACTTTGCCTCTCGCCCAAAAAGTCCAGATGGGATCGTCTCCAGTTCACGTGCGACCTTCTTGAGGACACCCGCTTTGGAAAAAACGGCGAATGAGACGTCCGATACAAAGTCTGGAACGCAGCCGGCTCCACTTTGACATCGTGCCGCGTGATGTTACGCAAGACACGCAGTGCACCTTCCCGCCACTTGGCGGGACCACGTGGGCTTTCCCCGGCCCGCTATAAATACCAAATTGGGTCAGGGTATTTTTTTTTTTTTTTTTCAAATGTGTTTCCTTGCTTTTTCTCCCTGGCATATTGTGTTACCGCTTGACGCACCTCGTGCAACTTAGATGGCGCCGATTGTGTTTGATGCGAAACATCTGGACTGTGAGATGAGCCCCCCCAAGGCTCCTTGTCTCAACCCAGCAGTCTGGAACTCGGGTCAGTAATTTGAAATTGGACCGGCAAATGGGTGCCGTTGTTCAATCCGGCTGGATGACTGTCACGCATTAGACTTTTGGAGTCAGCCGATCCTCCATCAAGCGTCTCCAGTTGGTCCACAATGCCGCCGCTCATCTCTTGATTGGTACTCGCATCACTCCTACTCTGCCATCCCTTCACCGTTCTCCCCTCTACATTTGACACTTCTTTGATTTGTATTCTAATCCTGAAATGGCCTGCCCCCCCCCCCCCCACTCCCACTTAACCCACACCTCTCTGAGCTTCCCGGTGCCTCAGGTCTGCGGACCAGACGCTAGTAGCGGTAGCGAGAATGAAGTGGAGGCTCGGAGGGGACAACAGAGTCTTGTTTCCGTTGCCGCTCCCTCTCTCTGGAATGACCTCGCGCTGAACTGAACGTTCGGCAGCGTTCGTAGCTGGTGCCGGCCGGCCCGCTAGGGTCCAGATCACGACTGTATCTCTCAACGGTAGTAACACGGACTTTCTCTTGCGTATCGCACGCCAGATACGATGACGTCGGAGGAGAGGAGGCAAATGGCCAAGGAGCGGCGAGAGGAAAAAGCCAAATATCTGGGTAAGTGCAAACAGGGGGACAGCTTCACGCGCGGCACAGGAGCGCCCCCTCGTGGTTAGAGTGAGCGAGGCTCTACCAGACACTCCATAAATGTTTGCGCGCCTTTTTTTTTTTCTCCAATTGGGAGAGCCACTGCCAGCCATTTTTTTTTTTACCATTTGGACTCAGTTATGAAGGCCTACACAAAACGGAGTTCTCTCGCTATGTAACCGACCAAAAGAAAACTTGAACCCTCTCTCCCCCCATATGGGCGCGGGTGCCTTGTACCATTCTCTCGTAAAACAGCAGTTGAACATTGGTCAGTTTCTTGAAAATTCTTGTTTCCAAGAAAAAAAATTGGAGAACAGGACCTTTTGTGACGGGATGCGTTTCAAGCACAACTTTCGTTTTGATGCTCTTTTTTTTTTTGGGGGGCATTTGTGTGACCTCAAATATCTAAACCAGAGGTGTCAAACATACGGCCCGCAGGGCCGGAACCGGCCCCCAAGGAGGTTCGATCCGGCCCGCGGGATCATTTAAAAGTGAAAAAAAAAATGCATTAAAGACACAGAATGAATATTTTAAATAAAATGCAATTCGTGGATTATCCGCTAGGGGGCACATTGTTTTGATCACAGTAGAAGACAACATTGTTTTGATTGGGGAAGAAAACAGCAGTCTCAGTCTGTCACCGAGATAGACCCAACGCGGCAAATGATATGAAAGCGCCAATCAATGCTTCTTGAGACCAAAACAAAGGAAAGAGATGAGATTTTGGTGATTCATAGCACAGTATGGTATCATGTTAATGGTTCGGCCCACTTGACATCTACCGAGTCCGTATGTGGCCCACAATGTGAAATGAGTTTGGCACCCCTGATCTAAACAATACTTTCCTACTAAACAACACCAAAAAGTTCACTTTGACTGCAAAAATAACCGTTTATTGCAAGACAATAAACGCTGCACTGATGCACGAACTTTGCATGAATGTTGAACTTGATCCATGTTCTTGCCGCCGCACTGCTTTTGCACTCAAAGCCCGTTATTATTTATTTATTTTTTTTGTTTAACGAGAAAAACACTAAAAAAAAAAACGTCGGTATACGTTTTGGCACTAAATGAGTTAAAAATGTCAGATTTGACTTGATTTTACTTGTTACGTGGCTTGCCCGGGTCATTCGGTGGCCACACGGCGCACCGCTTTGCATGATTGACGGCCGCTTGTCTTCTCTCTCTCACCCACCTTCCCTCCCTCCCTCCCTGCAGAAGAGCTCAGCCAGCTTCAAGGTAAGTCACGTTTGTGTCCGCCCGTGCTGGTTGCCTGCGGCGGCGGCGGCTAGCCCAAAGACGCCCTCGGTCATTCTGCTCATTTGGTTCCATGTCACTCGATTCCGGTAGATTTGGGGAAGGTCGCTGGGCAGTCCACCGAAATCAACTGTCTTCGAAAATTGGCAGTCACTTAAATTCTGACATTGCCCCGCTACACAACATTTTTCCTGACTTGGATTATTAGCAGGGGGCTAAAACTGATTGGATTTGGCCCACTTCTCAGTATTCGCGTCCCCTCTCTCAACGCCTCGATCTCCGCTTCTAACGGGCAGTTGCTTTGGTTTCCTGGAGCGCCGTGAAGGTTTTCGTGTGTACATTTTTTCTCGAATCAGTGCCGTGCGTTCACGGCAGGAAGCTCCCTCGGAGCCTGCCGTTTCCATTTCAAAGCGCGCGAAGTCAACGTTTGACACGCGATAACCTCGCCGTGAGCAGTCCGAAAATCATCGGAACTCTTTTTCAAACCCAAAGTGCTTTCGATGCGAGAGTCTTTTGACATCGAACCCAATTTTTCAGCGAATCACGCCCTTCTTTCCACCGAGAGCTTTAAGTACTTTGAAAAGATTTAACGTCTCCGATTTTCTTCAAGACCTTTTCAACCAAAAACTGTTCGGATTAAGGCCTCCCTTTCATCCAGTGCTCCTTTGACCCCACCCCACCTCAGCGGCGAAGAAGAGCCAGTGGCTGGAGAAGGAGGAGAGGGCGCGGCAGCTGCGGGAGCAGCAGCTGGAGGAGCGGCGCAGGAGGCTGGAGGAACAACGCGTCCTGGCGGAGAAACGCCGCGCCGCCCTGGAGGAGCGCCAGAAGCAGAAGCTGGAGAAGAACAAGGTCGGTGAAAAGTGAAGATGCGTGCGTCTGACAAATGGACTTTTTTTCATCCGCTCGCCTCTCTGTTGTCATCTGCTCTCTCTCTCCAGGAACGCTACGAGGCGGCCATCCGTCGCTCCGCCAAGAAAACGTGGGCCGAAATCCGCCACCAGAGGTGCTCATGGGCCGGCAACCACAACGCCAACCGGAAGGAGAGTGAGTATGTGGGACTGTATTGATCGATTGGGAGGGAGGGAGGCTTTATTTGCACAAGTGGCCGCGCACGTTTTTTTGGTCAGACATCCGGGGCAGGAGTACGAAATGCGGATTTGACGATGTGACGCGGACTCGTCACCGCTAAGCTGCAGCAATATTTCTTTCATTTTTTTTTCCCCCCCCCCTCCGCAAAGAATAATGGAAATTTGTGTCCGCAAGCGCGCTTGTGCACTTTCCTGTTGGTGAGAAATTGTTTGAAGGTTCAAGAACTGCCTCGGTAGTGACGCTAGGTTGGTTAGCCCATCTATGGGTTTTTCCATCAAACGTTAGCATTAAGCTAGCGGACTGTTGAAAAGGCTTTGGTGGCAGTTTGTGGTCTCTTCGTTTGCTTGGTGAAAACTCGTCCAATCGAGGCGTCCCCCCCCCCCCCCCTCGCTCCTGG